TTCCCCCCCCCCCAATTAGTTCATAATATTCAAGCTAAGTTCTAAAAGAGGGGCCAGCAGGTGGCATTGTGGTTAGGACACTGGACACGCCCACATGGCTGACCATAGTTCAAGTCCTGGACATGGCAGTTTGCTTTCTCACTTTCCTTTTCTCTCTCTGTGTGTCTCTCTCTGGTCAAATTAAAAACAAATGCATGAATAAATGAAACAAAGTAAATAATTCTTTAATTTAAAAAAAGCTCTAAAAGTTCACGCCAGGGTCAGAAGGGGCCTTGGACGATGTCTTTCAGGCTGTCACCACTCCCTAGTGGTGACACAGCCACCAGGGGTTTCCCCAACTGCCTCTCTAAAAACCCTTGGTTTCCCTCTCTTCATTTCCTTGTTATATCAGATTGTCATTGACGTCTATTGTTTTATTTTAAAATGATTTCTTTCTTTCATTTTATTTGTTATTATTATTTATTTTTAAATTTGACCAGAGACAGAGAGTGAGAGAAGGGGAAAGTGAGAAAGCAAGCTGCCAGTTCCGGGACTTGAACCGCGGTCGACCATGTGGCAGTTCAGCAGTGTAACCATCTGTTAGCCACTGTATGAGGATGTTTTCAGCCTGTTTTGGGGCCAGTGGTTGGATGGTGTCTCAGATGAAGCAGTTTAGCATTTTAAAAAAATATTAATTTTATTTATTATTATTCTCTTTTTTTTTTGGAGTGGTTTTTGCTATAGGGCGCATGTACTTGCCACAAAGACAGAGAGAGACAGAGAGACAGAAAGCGAGAAATCACCCCGCAGGGGAGATGGCCACACCACAATCCCTTCTCCTCTATTCTCCTCTCAGGATCCTGGGCACACACGCACATGTGCCCAGCGTTGAGTTTAAGCCACCGGGTCCAGGACGCGTCGACTACGTGGGAGTCCAGTGACATAGCCATTACGCTAACTGCTGGTTCCCTGCTTTAAGTAATTTCTTATCAGAAAATAAGGAGATGGTTGCAGGGAGCTTTGGGCAGAATCCTCTGACCCGGGTCCTCCTTTACCTGAAGCCCATAGATGAACTGACAAGGTCACAGTGACAAAGAAGCTCATCCAAGCACCTGCCATTCTTGTCACCTTATCCCCTCGCCCCTCCCATAAAAATACATCTGGTCTCCTCAGTGGGGTGGGCGCAGGACCCCCGGCTGCTCTTTCTCTCAATACACTTTCTTTGCGACCAGCAGATGGCGCAATGGTCCCATCCCTGGACTCTCACGTAACTGACGGTGATAGGAGTCCGGGACCTGGTGGCTCAGAGAATGGAGGAGAAGGGATTGCGGGTGGCCATCCTCCCTGGGGAGGTGATTTCTCAATTTCTGTCTCTCTGGCGAGCACACGCGTCGTAGAGCCAACATCTCTCTTAAAAAAATAAGAAGAAGAAGCTAAGCTTTTGTGTTTTTTTAATTTAAAATGATTTTTATTTAACTTTATTTATTTTACTTTGATCAGAGAGGGATGGGGAAGTGGGAAAGCAAGACTCCAGATTGGGGACTCAAACCACTCGGTCTGCCAAGTGGGAATCCAGCACCCTTAAGCATCTCGCCACCTGCCGGCCTCCACCAACTTTCCTTTTTCCCTCCAGAGGTTGCCCTCTGAGTCTTACCCTGAACCCTCACACTCTCCATGGAAAGCGTGTGCCCGATCACAAAAATCTAAACAATAGAGAACCAGCAGTTAGCGTCATGGCTGTGTCGCTGGACTCCCACATAGTCGACCGTGTTTCGTGTCCCGGACCCGGTGGCTTAAAACTCACGCCGGGCGCGTGTGCGTGCGTGCCCAAGATCCCGAGAGGAGAATGGAGGAGAAGGGATTGTGGCGTGGCCATCCCCCCCGGGGGGGGGGGGTTCTCACTTTCTGTCTCTCTGTCTCTCTGTCTCTCTCTTTCTGTCTGGTGAGCATATGCGCCCTATAGCAAAAACCTATTAAAAAAATAAAAATAAAAACAACCTCATACAGGGTAGGGGACCAGCAGGGGGCATGGTGGTTAAGGTGCTGGACACTCCCACATGGTTGACCATGGTTTGAATCCTGGACCTGGTCACTTGCTTTCTCACTTTCTCTCTCTTTCTGTGTGTCTCTCTCTGGTCAAATTAAAATAAAGGAATGAATAAATACAATTAAATAAATAATTCTTTAAAAAAAAATTCGTACAGGGTGACTGGGACCACCAGTTGGCATCATAGCTATGTCGCTGGACTCCCATGGAGTCAACCGCGGTTCGAATCCCGGACCTGGTGGTTTAAACTCACACCGGGTGCCTGGGCATGTGTGCCCCAAAAAAGAAACCCCTCTCCTAAAAAGAAAGAGAAAAAGGCTCATGCAGGACAAGTGAGGGTACACATCTGGGAAGGAGAATGGAAGAGAAGGGATTGCCATGTGGCCATCCCCCTTCAGGGGTGATTTCTCTCTTTCTGTCTCTGCAGTGGACATGCCCTATACCAAAATTCTTAAAGAAAAAATATAATAATATATAAAAAAATATCTTTTGACCCAATTCAATTCCAAAATGTAATTTCTTTGCTTTCTCCTCCCCTCGCCTCCACCCCATCATCACGGGTGGGATCCAGAGACTCAAGATTAGGAAAGCACTTTTCAAAGCGCTACGTGATTGCAAAACGCTATGGAAAAACTTCCTCGGTTCACATTCCTGGCAGATCACGGGCGCGCCCTGGCGGCCAGGGAACTCCTGGCAGATACACGCTGGACCACGTGTGACGTCTCGGTCGCCATCTTTTCTACTGGCATCCGCCATCTTGGTAAAGGTAACGTTCTTGATTGTAAGTTCTACTCGCCCCTCTCGACTCACCTATATGCGAAATGAGCTCAGAACATGTGGGTTTACAAAATAAAAGCCTTTAATGGGTAAAATATGGCTGATAATTTGGCTTGGGTGTGAGTCCAGCGCCACCGTATCCTTTACCAAGATGGCGACGGCACTGATACGTAAAGAGTGTGCGCCTCCAAGAACTCAGTGCGCAGGCTCTGCGTGACGTCAGGAAGGTGCGACCGGGCCGGCGCTGGGGGAAGGAGGTAGGAGCGGCCGCGGCGCGGGCGGAGCCCGGGTGCGGGGGGCGGGCGGGTCTGGCGGGGTCTGCCGGGTCTGGGAAGGCTGGAGGTGGGGTGCTGGTGCTGGGGGTTCGGGGCCCTTCCCGAGCTCATTCTCGAGGGCTTCCGGGGAGGCTCTGCTTGTTTTTCGGACCAAGCGACTGAAACCCAGAGGAAAGGGACGGCCCCGTGTTCGAGGCCACCCAGCCCTGGCATTGCCCCGAGCACCCGCTAGTCTTGCGGGTGACAGAGCAGGGTGCAGATGCCCTCGACCTCTTGTGATGTGATCAAAGATTGGGGGATTCAGAAGGGACAGCCGGGAGGGCTTCCTGGAGGAGGCGGCGTTGCCCTCTTACCTGCCCATCCAGTCTGTCACGTGGGTCTGGGTTTCCTCATAAGTGGACGCTGTGCCCAGCCTCAGCCACACTCTGGATCCCACCCCTGACATAGCACCTGCTCCCTAATCGTCGGAGCCACAGAACGCCCTCCACACCTTCCCATCACCCTGGGATATAAATCCCCACTTCCCAGCCTGCCTTTGCACACCCCCCCTACAGGCTGGGGTTTCCCCATTGCTTTAGACTTTTTTGTTTTAAATTATTTTATTTAACTTTATTTATTCATTTATTTATTTCAGTTTGACCAGAGAGAGACAGAGAGAGAGAGAGAGAGAGAGAGCGCAAACTGCCAGGTCCGGGACTCGAACCATAGTCAGCCATGTGGGAGTCCAGCACCTCTAACCACCAAGCCATCTGCCAGCCCTAACTTTAGACTTTTTTAAGAATTATTTTATTTACCTTTATTTATGTATATATTTTATTTTGACCAGAGAGGGACAGAGAGAAAGAGGGAAAGTGAGAAAGCAAGCTGCCAGGTTCGGGACTCGAACCACAGTCAGCTCTGGGGGAATCCAGCGCCCTTTACCACCCCGCCACCTGCCAGCCCTGAAGCTTTTTTTTTTCCTGAAGTCTCCAGGTAGCGCTCCAGCCGGGGTGGGTCAGAAGTTCGCTCTGAGCTTCCCTGTGCTCTGTGTGTCCCCATAACAGCCCCGTTCGTGTCCACTTCCTGTCACTGGGTCACTTGTCCGTCTCCTGCCAGTCCCAGAGTCCGGGCACTCAGAAAGCTCCTTCTTGGATCTCATTCCTTCCTGACCCACGCGCTCGACTGTAGCTGGTCAACACGTGTTTGTTGAATGACTTTGTGAACGTGTGAGTGTTTACGACCCAGAAGAGAGGGCGTCTGTCTCCACCGGCTTGGACCGTCCTAACGGGACGCCACAGACGGGGGACTGAAAGAGCAGAAGTTTATTTTCTCACAGTTACGGAGGTTGGAAAATCCAGGATCAAGGTGCTGACAGATTATTTTATTTTTAAAGAATTTTTTATTGGTGCCGGCAGGAGGCGTGGTGGTTAAAGGCACTGGACTCCCACACAGCTAATCATGGTTCAAATCCCAGCCCTGGTGGCTTGCTTTCTCACTTTCCCTTTCTCTCTCTCTCTCTGGTCAGATTAAAATAAATAAATAAACTTAAGTAAAATAACTATTTAAAATTTTTAAAAAATTTTTAATTTATTATTTTCTTTTTATTTAGGGAGAGTTTTTTGCTATAAGGCATGTGTGTTCACCAGAGAGACAGAAAGTGAGAAATCACCCCCCAGGGGGGATGGCCACGCCACAATCCCTTCTCCTCCATTCTCCTCTCGGGATCCTGGGCACGCATGCACACGTGTCCGGTGTGAGTTTCAAGCTGCCAGGCCTGGGACTTGAACCATGGTTGACTGTGTGGAAGTCCACTGACGTAACAATTATGCCATCTGCTGGTCCAGGCCCTGAAGTTTCAATAGAAGTTAGCTAAGTATAAAGGGAGGAAGGGGCTGTAGGTGGGGTGGTGGTTAAGGACACCGAACTTCCACATGGTTGGCCACGGTTCGAATCCCAAACCTGGCGGCTTGCTTGCTTTCTTTCTCTCTCTCTCTCTCTCCTTCTCTGGTCAAACTTAAATAAATAGATAAAGTTAGATAAAAATAATTATTTAATTTAAAAAGAGACAACCACATGTAAGTGTAGGACGTGGCAAATGCAAAGGGTGTGAGGTAGGGATTTGCCTGGTGTTTGAAGTGTGGCGAGAAGGCTGCTGCTCAGCGAGGCGGGACGGATCGCAGGGAGGACAAGGGAGAGCCTCGGTTTCCTCATCTGACACCTGGACGGGCTCCCACATCTGGGTGCTCTCGTCGGGAATCTAGGAAGGGTTTTCTGCTGGGTACAGTGTGAGCACACTCGGTAATGAGCACCTGGTTCAGGGACCAAGGAGGAGCCTGCAGAACTGTGGGGTCATTTGGTGGATCTGTCTCCTGGGATTGAATCGACTCCCTGTCTCAGATGAGGAAACTGAGGCTCAAGAAAACATCTTGAGGGATCAGCGGATGGCAAAATGGTTACATTGCTGGATTCCCACGTAGTGGACCACAGTTCCAGTCCCGGCCCTGGCAGCTTAAAACTCATGTTGGGCACGTGTGCGTGCGTGCCCAAG